CGGGCGCGATGAGCGTCGTGCCACCTGACCCCCGACCGGTCGCAGGCGTCGTCCCGAGCGCGTCGAGACCGTGCCCTGCTGTGATCTGCACGCGTGAGTCACGTCGGCGTCAAAGGAGCGACGTGCGACCTGTCAGAGCTTGATCTCCGATCGCAGCTGCCTCTGCGCGTCCTGGGGAGGGACAAAATTGTCGCCGCCGGAGACGACTCGACGCCGCTGAGATCGGAGATCAAGCTCTGACAGGTCGCACGTCGCTCCTTTGACGCCGACGTGACTCACCCGTGCAGATCACAACAGGACACGGTCTCGACGCGCTCGGTACGACGCCTGCGACCCGTCTCCGGTCAGGTGGCACGACGCTCATCGCGCCCGCCAGCGCTGCCGTGCAGGTTGCCACGACGAGGTCGAGAACGCTTCTATACGCTCGCCGAGCCTTCCTTTCCATCCCATTAGGCAGCCTGGGAATGGTGGCGGTCAGAGGCAAAGCCTGCGAGGGGTGGTGGAACCACATGTCACGGCTACTGCCGGCTCGACGCGACGATAGCCTCCGAAGGCTGACTTTGCGGCACCATCATCGGACGATGTCGACGAGTTGGGTCGCTCTCGCGGTAGCCAGATGACCTCTCATACTAGTAGTATCGGCCATGGCCGCAGGGAGCGCGGGGGAGGGCGCTGGAAGCAACACGGAGCTCCGTTGTGGAGAGACGTTTTCAAGATTAGCGTGTCACTCAGTGTCAGAGTGAAATGGCACTAGCCCAAGTGCTCTAGTAAAGAAACCCGGTCGGTCCCAGCCACCCCTCGCGCCTCGGAGCGTGCACTATCGCACCACTCAGCTGTAAGTCACAGCGATTTCAATCACGCTTGTCACATTTCAATCACGCCTGTCACTCTACAAGCAGCCCAAAATCGCCCTCGAACTCCTCGAGGTCGCGCTGGCGCGCCGCGCCGTCCGGGCCGTAAGAGCCGAGCCTGGTCTGGGCCCGCTCTAGCCAGCTGTAGAGGAGGGGGCGGCAGCGCTTGTAGGCCAGAGCCCCGTCCACCGCCTCGTACCAGCGCTGCAGGTCGCGCATCCTCTTGGGAGGGAGGCGGAGAACGGTGGTGGCGGGAGGGAAGAAGGTGGGGATGGTGGCAGTGTCTGGCACGGTGACGCGGGTCAGGGAGGAGCAGCGGGCGAAGGCGCCGCTGCCGATGGAGGTGAGGCCAGCGGGGAAAGTGACGCGGGACAGGGCGGAGCAGCGGTCGAAGGCGCCGTCGCCGATGGAGGTGAGGCCGGCAGGGAAGGTGACGGAGGCGAGGGAGGAGCAGCGGGCGAAGGCGCCGCTGCCGATGGAGGTGAGGCCGGCGGGGAAGGTGACGGAGGAGAGGGAGGAGCAGCGGGCGAAGGCGTAGCTGCGGATGGAGACGAGGCCGGCGGGGAAGGTGACGCGGGTGAGGGCGGAGCAGCCATAGAAGGCGCTGCTGCCGATGGAGGTGAGGCCGGCAGGGAAGGTGACGGAGGCGAGGGCGGAGCAGCCGAGGAAGGCGTGGTTGCCGATGGAGGTGAGGCCGGCGGGAAAGGTGACGGAGGAGAGGGAGGAGCAGCGGGCGAAGGCGCCGCTGCCGATGGAGGTGAGGCCAGCGGGGAAAGTGACGCGGGACAGGGCGGAGCAGCGGTCGAAGGCGCCGTCGCCGATGGAGGTGAGGCCGGCAGGGAAGGTGACGGAGGCGAGGGCGGAGCAGCCGAGGAAGGCGTGGTTGCCGATGGAGGTGAGGCCGGCGGGGAGGGTGACGGAGGCAAGGGAGGAGCAGTTGCGGAAGGCGCAGCTGCCGATGGAGGTGAGGCCGGCGGGTAGGTCGATGGAGACGAGCGAGGAGCAGTCGGCGAAGGCGAAGCTGCCGATGGAGACGAGGCTGCGCGGGCATGTGACCGAGACGAGAGAGGTGCGGTTGATGAACACCCGTCCGGCAGATGCGTCATGCCTTCGGGCAGCACCGCGTGCCCGTCGGCGACGACGACCTGCCAGCCGCCCACGTCCAAATTCTCTGAGCCGGGCGGCGGCGCGGCGTCGCTCGGCGGCGGTGAAGGCGGGCCCCATCGTGGAAAAGAAAAATACCCCGCGGTTTCTTCCGTTGTTGAGCGAGGACTCAACATACTCGGGCTGTCCATCCCAAACTGTCACTCCCCTTTCTCCCGGCCGGGGTGGGGCGCGCGCGGGTGGCGGCGGGTGTGCGGGATGTCTGTGGGCCCGAGAGCGATATGCCATGTCCTCATCCTCATCCTAGTTCACTTCGTTTCTTTCTTTATTGCGGCAAAAAAACAGAAAAAACGTCGCACGAAAAACAACTCCGCGAAACTGTTCGCGCGAAACAACTCCGCGCATGTCTCTCACCTCGCACTTCCAGTCCCGCAAGCGCACTGAGCGGGAGCCGCCGCAGCTCTCCAAGTACGAGGCCAAGCGCGCGCGCAACATCGCCGAGAACCAGGCCGCCCTCCAGGGACCAGGCGCTTGGCCTCGCCGAGCCCGTCCGTCCTGATGCCCGCCACGTCTGAACCACAGCGTGTCCCGACTCGACCGCCGGCGTCCCGGTCCGGGGGTTTTTCTCTTCTTATCCGTTACCATGTAGAGCAAGGCCGAGGGCGGGCCCTTTCGGGCTCGGGCCGCCCTCTCGCCCGCACCTCTGCGGGGCTTGCACGTGGCAGCGGCGGCTCAAGATCCCAGCAATCTCGAGTTCTTCACGCTATCCACTGCGCCGCGGCTTCGCCGCGCCCATCCAAGCCCAGGGCTTGGTTTGCTGATAACCGCATCTCGCTCTGCGCATCTCTGAGGCTACCCGCGCGCCGACTGCTACGCGCGCGGCGAGAGGCGCACCCCATCGGGGACAGGATTGAGGCCCCTGTACAAGCTCGGCAACGCTGCCGTCGTTGCCCTCCCGAGCCCTCAACACGATGCCGCACATTGCGCAACCCGTTCTGCGCACATGCCGCAGGGAGGAGTTTTCACTCTGCCGTCCGAGTTTCTCCTTCCTGCAGGGCGAGAGACATCAGCCTCTCTACTTCCAGGAGAACATCTACGCCACACGCTATCCCGACGGTCCACAACCCACACTCTCGCTGCAGTCGATCCAGCCCTCGCACTCCCCACTGGAGATCTAGCCGAGGCCCCGGCGGACAGGATTGGAGCCCCTGTGCTGCGTCTGTGGTGATATGTGGGGGACACTTTCTCCTCCCTATTCATGTCAGTCACTCGACTGCGTCGAGGGGGGGGACGTCTGAACCACAGCGTGTCCCGACTCGGACCGCCGGCGTCCCGGTCCGGGGGTTTTTCTCTTCTTATCCGTTACCATGTAGAGCAAGGCCGAGGGCGGGCCCTTTCTGACGTGTGAGCCGTCTTCAGGTCCAGCTCCCTTGTGAGTTGCCTTGTGTGTGAGTTCTTTTGCCATGACCGCGCGCGTCACATATACATACATTCGAACTAGGGCACGGGCGCGGGAGGTCGACGTGCGCGCGTGAGAGCCCCTGTGCGCTGTGGCCGCGGTGCGCGGATCGCGATTGTGGATTGATGCGTCTACTGGGGAAGGGCCGTGCGCAACTGTGGCAACAGGGACGTGCAGCGGTTGCGCGCGGGCGATCGTGGCGATGGTTGACTGTGCATGCCGCCCAAGTTTTGTTCCCCAAGACGCAGGAGGGGCCCTTTACATTCATACCGTATCCGAGCGGCATGGGAATCATCTACTCAAGTGATGTGGCCGAGCATGTCGCGAGGCTGATGGGCGGCCCGCTGTCGCTTCGCACAATCTGGCCGCATGACGCAATGTCGGCCGTGCGGTTGGCGGGCGTCGATGTTGAGTTGAAAAGGGTTGGTATGTATGTATGTAGGAAGGTGAAGAACAGCCAGGCTCGGACTGGGCACCAACGCGGTATGGGAGCGAATATTTCCGGCCGCGCTTTCTTCCGCCTGTGCAAGTCGAACTCGTCCGCTGTTAGCCACTTCACAGCTGCTCCTGTGGGAAGAGGCGTGATCGTCGGGGGGCTGCAGCACACAGTCGCTCAAACTGTGCGCTCCGCGAGACCGAGCCCCCTCGAGGTTCACAGCGGTCGGCTGCGTGCAGTGCACTGCCCTCTGCAGACTAACGAGGGTGGTGCTCCACCATGCCCAATCCGCGCAGCTCTGAGGAGGAGCGGCTCACCACGTTTGTCGACGGCCTCACGCCGCTTCTCCGTCCGCTTGCGCTCATCGGCGGCGCACTTGTGTTGGCCTCGGTCGTCGGCCGGCCCTCCCAGGACGAGACCGAGGCGCAGAAGGGCGCCTTCCTCTTCGACGCGCAGCAGCGCTTCGCAGAGCCCGCCCTCGTCGGCAGAGCGAGCGGCGACGGGAGGTGGCGGCCGTGTGGCGGCGGACAGGCCAACGCGTCGTCCGCCGCGCTGGGCGATGCCGAGGCGGACGCGCTCTCCCGCTGGTGCGCGCCCAACGAGACGGCGGCGATCGTGCAGGCGGCAGGCCGCCTCGGCAACCGGACGCATGGCCGCTGCCCAGGCCTTGCAGCGGTGCGTCTTGCCTGATGGCTGAGACGGCCGCCATGGCTCTTGCCTCACCTCGGCGAGGTCTCGCGCCGCTGTCAGGCGCTCGGGTCGAGGTCGCTTCCCCGCGCGGCGCCGACGCGCGCGGGGCCGGCGGCGCATGGCGGCCCGAGCACCAGCGGTGCGGATCAGCGGTGCGGTGGCCCGTCTCGCAGCTGTTCGGTGAGCCGTCTCTGAGCGTCGCTGCAGGTGGCAGGAGCTGGAGCGGTGTGTGTGGCGAGCGGCTCGCGGCTCGCGGCAGCCGCCCGCTCGTGTACGTCTACCGCTGGCTCGACACGCTCCACCGGCAGCTCCTCGGCAGCCGCTCTTCGGCTTCGTTCCTGGACATCTGGCACCCTCGCTCGCAGTTCCTCTCCGAGTTCGCCTTCCACCGCGCTCTGCTCGCGTCGCCCTTTGCCACCGCGTCACCAGAGTCGGCGGACTTCTTCTTCGTCCCTTTCTACTCGCGGCTCGCCCTCGGCCAGAAGAACCAGTCCGCCCGCGCAGCGCTCATCGCCACTCTGCGGCGGCAGCTCGAGGCGTCGCCGTACTACAGGCGGTCGGGAGGGCGGGACCACATGTTCCTCCTCTCGTCTGGCCGCCCGATGGAGCTACTCTTTGGCGAGGCGCTTCCCTTGCTCGCCGACGCCATCCGCCTCCAGGCGATCCACTTGCGTGCAGACCCCGACCGAGGGGCGCAGAGCCAGCCGTTCGCAGGGCTGGCCGCCGGCCGGTGGCAGAGGAAGGAGGTGCGCGTGCCGCACTTTGTGCCGTGGCTGCCGCAGGACGACGCCGTCACGGCGGGCAGCAAGCGCCGCTCCGTCTGCCTCGAGGCGACGCCGAGCACGCGGCTGCGCGAGGCGCTCCTCGCCCCCTCCTCCCCCCTCCGCCGCGTCCCCGGAGCGCACCTCCGCCCCACCGGCCGCTCGAGCGCACCGGCACACGACAGACGCCGCCGCGCGGCGGCGTGCGCAGCACGGCAGCGGCTGAGGACGTGCCGCTTCTGCGTCGTGCCGGCGGGGCGGACGCCGTCGACGCGGCGTCTCTTCGAGGCGGTCGCCGCTAAGTGCATCCCGATCCTGCTCGCCGACGGGCTCTCCCTCCCTATCCGTGGGGCAGTCGGAGGAGGCGAGCCTTCCCGTCGCACCTTCTTTGGACGTCTTCTAGGCTCGCCCTCCCTTTCGTGGGACAGTCGGAGGAGGCGAAGGCAGAGCCACGCACACGGGGCGGGGCGGAGGAGGCGGATTCAGAGGCGGAGGCGGAGGCGGAGGCGGAGGCGGAGGAGGCGGAGGCGGAGGCGGAGGCGGAGGCGGAGGCGGCGGTGGCGGGCTCGGGAGCGGCGGGGACGAGGACGGGCGCAGCGGCGGCGGGGACGGGCGCGTCGGCGGCGGGGACGGGCGCGTCGAGGCGGCGTGACGTCGGTCTGGCCCCGGTGTCCAATCTCAGCGGCGCGGGTGGCGGGCTAAGGCTGCTCTCTCGCTCCGGCGGGCTGCTCGGCGCGTCGACAGCGGCGCCCTTCAGCTCCCCCGAGATGAGGCGAGGCGGCCCGAGGGTAGGCGGGCTCATCGGCGCGACACCGGCGGCCTCCTTCCTCCGTCTCCCCGAGGCGCAGTGGCGCGAGCTGCCAGCCCTCGTCGCCGAGGCGGAGGGCCGCCACGCGCAGATGATGCGCGTGCTCGAGCTCTACCGGCCGTGGTTCCTGTACGAGCTGGCCGAGGCGCGCAGCGCAGACGACGCGCGCCACGCGTCCTCCCTACTCTGCGCCGTGTTGGCCGACGTCGCGCGCCGCTTCTCGCCGCATCTGCAGGACTGGAGACGAGCAGCAGCAGGGCCAACTGCAGGGTCTGAGACGAATGTGTCGAGTGCGCGGCGAGGATCTTGACGAAGGGTGGGTTTTGCACGAAACACATCCACAATCGCGAGATCCGCGCACCGCGGCCACAGCGCACAGGGGCTCAGGCACGCACGCGCGCACGTAGACCTCCCGCGCCCGCCGTGCCCCAGTTCGCGAAATGTATGTACGCCGGTGGCGTGCGCGTCAGCTGATTTCGACATCGTGTGCCGAGGGCTGATTCACTTGGTGCCACAAACCATACGCCGAAATTCTGCGTGTTTCTTTTATTTCCAAGCCCACTAGGGGGATTGCCCCCGAAGGTAAGTGCGTCTGATTCGCGACTTTCTTGGAGCACTTGGAGCACTTTGACTGCGGTCATTAGCCTCACATCCAAGGCCGGGGAGCTAAGAAGCGCACTCTGGGGGGAGGCGGGGCCCCCCGCGCCGCGCCGCAGTGCGGAAACGGGGCCCCGGCTCTACTAGTCTCTACTAGCACCGACTTCCCGATTAAGCTAGGTTAATCAGAGGGCAGATTTGGAGAGATCTCGAGGAGTACATACAGATAGACCCTCCAACCATCAGAAAACTCCGACCTGATCGGTCGTACTGACCGCCGACAGATCACTCCAGACAGCAGACAGGCCGACGTCTGCACGTGGCCGGCCGGGCGAGAGGCTTGACACGATCCGACCCTGCGACCCTGAC